GGAGCGAGGGAAGAGAAAACCACCTGTAACAGAAGCAAAGCTTCTCAGTAGAGGGTGTCAGGGTAATAACAGTTGGAAAATGATGCACGCAGAGCCAAAGAGAAGTGCAATGATGCTCCCCATCCTGCAGCTCCAGGACTAGCAGTGCGAGATGGTTGGACTAGAGGTCTCTTCCAACCTAATTCATCTTAGAATTAGATTAAAAGATTCATCTAACTCTAAGTGCTCAGCGCCCTGCTCTGCACAGCCCAACCCTATTTTGAAGAACATGGTGGACCATCTGTATTGACACAGCTCTTTGGTAAACACCACCAGGCCTGCCGAAATGTTGGTGACCCTTTACCGTCCCCCCTGTGCTGACACAGCCCTGCCTCGCTGCCTTCCATGGAAATCACTCTAATTGTCAGGTGAAGAAAGGAAAGGAGGAACTTGTGCCATCTGAAGTTTGCTCCCTCATCTCTGCAGGGGATTCCTTTACTGCAAACAGCCTGAGTATTATTGCCATTTACAGTAGCAATCACTCCGTCCCCTCCTCTCCCACAAACCTACTGCTGGTACCAGCACTGATCATCCTAACGAGCCTGTGGGTTTTATTACTACTGATACTAATAATACTGGACACATTACGTCTGCTCCCGCCAATAACGGGCTGCAGATACGCTCCCTGCTAATGCCGATAATACTGGGGGATATTATCTCTGCCATTGTCAGTGCTGCAGATATTATTGCCAGTAATGCCGTCAAATACTCCAGATATTGTCAGGGACCAAGATTAATAATGCTGAGATTGTTCCAGCCCCAGCCTCACTGGAACACGAATCCCAAATGAGAATGTGGGTCTATAGAAGAAGTCTGTCTGTGGCCTGCTATGGAGAGAAGGGGATGTCCCTAGTAAGAGTGGTTTCGGAAAGATCCCAAAAGTTTCATGCAGCTGGAGATGCTGTGATACACAGGGAACAGTTTGAAATATTGTTTTCATACTATCTATCTATCCATCTATCCATCCATCCTTCCCTTTCTTCCCGTCTCTCCCTTTTTCTCCTTATCCAGTGCTCAAGACTCTTGTATGAGTTTGATTTTCCATTAGTGCCTCTGGGTCACCCCGATTCTCATCCTTTTAGCTAAAAATGAGGGTGTTATGGAACAACAGAAATATGTGTATTATTTTTCCCCTTTGTCCTTCTGGACTTCTTATTGCTGCTGCTTAGTCTGACAGTGCTGAGCTTGGCCTGGCATCACCCCATAGTACAATATTAGGGTGGTGAAGAGCCAGGAATTCCTGTTTCTAGCTGCAGGTTGATACCCTCAGTGGTCTTGGGAAAGTCTTTACACACTGCAAGGCCAGTTCAGCCTCTGGAAGACGGGGGGTGGAAGTGGTGGGGGACCCTTTTTCTCCTTATCCAGTGCTCAAGACTCCAGTATGAGTTTGATTTTCCATTAGTGCCTCTGGGTCACCCCGATTCTCATCCTTTTAGCTAAAAATGAGGGTGTTATGGAACAACAGAAATATGTGTATTATTTTTCCCCTTTGTCCTTCTGGACTTCTTATTGCTGCTGCTTAGTCTGACAGTGCTGAGCTTGGCCTGGCATCACCCCATAGTACAATATTAGGGTGGTGAAGAGCCAGGAATTCCTGTTTCTAGCTGCAGGTTGATACCCTCAGTGGTCTTGGGAAAGTCTTTACACACTGCAAGGCCAGTTCAGCCTCTGGAAGACGGGGGGTGGAAGTGGTGGGGAAGGTCAGAGGGAAATTACAGCACCATCAGCTGTGTCCATAGAAGAACGGCAAGAACCGGCACGCTGTGCTGCACGAGTGGTGGTGAACTTTTTTAGCCAAATTATTTTAAAAATCATAGGAGACCAACTAAGTCAGAGGGTTTATAATCAATGGGCTTAACAGGGCAGATCCTGACCGTCCATCCTAGGCACTGGCACTCACCTGAGGGACACACACTGAGTTTTGTGGAAAGATTGTGACCTGACAGTCCCTTCTTGTGACTGGTAGACACTCAGAGATGCCTCCCTGCTCGCTCCCTCTCAATGCCATAGTCTTCCCAGGCCACCCTCGCAGTTGCAGCCACCACATTTGGTAGGTTGGGATTTCCCCTCTTCCCTCTAACTCCCTGTGAGGATCACACCTGGCTGTCAGCGTCCATCGCTGAGCCCACCTCCTGCATCCGTCTGGCTCCTTCTGTCCAACTCGGGAGTTCTGCTACATCATCTTGACACATAATTATCTCTCCTCTTCTTAATCATCTGTGCTACTGCCTAATGCAGGCACCAGCTGCAACAAGGAGGACCTGGGGGAGGGGGTGTGCTCGGATAGAGGCTCCTCTGTCTTTCTCCCACCCTGTTCCCCCTCCCAGCCATCACAGAGGTTGCTAACAAGGTTTTTGGAACTGGGGATTCAGGAGCAGCTTGGTACTTCCCCCCTTTCTGCTGAACTGCCTTCCTCACAGAGGAATCCTTGAAGCAGAGCTGATCCAACGGAGCGGAAAGAAAGAGAAAGCAGTTCTGCTTCTTCTGCCTCCTTTAGAGAAGAGCCGTCTCCCCAAAATGCTGGGAAAGTAGATGTGCATTGGGAGCTCAAAAGGGCTTTTCAACACGGGAATAAACCCTGCAGTTAAGAAACTGCAACAAAACAGTGCTCAGAAGCTCTGGGAAATACTGAGAAGGCGTATCCAGTCAACATGAGCATGGAAGAAACACCTGCACTGGATGTCTTGCCTGGGTTTCCCAATCCCCATCACAGCCAGGAGCCCTCAGAGCCCTCAGAGCTACAGAGGAGATGGCTCAGGAGTGAGTGCAGGCCACTGACTGTGCAAAACCTCCCCTTGGACCCATCTAGCCTTGGGACCCTGCAAAGTCATGGTGCCTTTCAGCATTTCTTAAGGCCACCGTTAGCCCAGGTGACTCTTGGCTAGGGGTGTTCAGCAACTGGCAAGGTGTTCCATGCAAGGTTTCTTTGGGGCAGGAACGTGACATCTCCCTGTGGCAGATACCTGGGATGGCAGGATGAAGGCTGTTCTCTAAGGCAGCTGCTGCTGTGTCATGGAACTGCCACCTGAAGCTCTGAGAGCTAAAGGCAAGCAGCATCTCCAGGATTGTCTGGTACCTTTTTGATTCCTAGTGGAATATGTGGGCTCTTGGCCAACAGCAGGGAGTTGCTTGCCCTTCATAAATCAAATCTGGGATGAACTAAGGACAGACAGAGAGAGTTGTTCTTACTGTCAATATATCACTGTGAAGTGTCACAGTCTTAGATGGCTGCTGGGTTGTTCCTGTGTTTAACCGTACTGCTCCAAAAATGCTCAGGTTCTGGGGCTGGAAGTGACTCTGTGGCTGCATCTAAAGTGGGATGATCTTTCTAGGTGTTTGGAAGGAACAGCTAACGTCAGACTGATCTGCTTCATTTCAAAATGAGCTATGGAGGCACCATGTTGGGAGCTGGTGATCACCACTTTGGACTGTACGAGAAGAGGGGTTCACAAAAACCCCAAATAACTGCCAAGAGACTGGCACAACCATTAGACAAACTTGTCACTCGCTTTGAAATGTCACTATTTCCTGTGTGTGTGACGATGGGAAATGCTGGAGGGGTTTGCAGTGCTTGCGCTCTCTTATTCCTGACATTTTTTGACTTTGAGGTATTGACTCAGCCCTTCCATTGCTAGACTTTTCTCTTCGCTGGGCCCTACTGCCATCTAGCTGGGAAATGGATCTTCCTCTGGGGCCTGATCCAATTTCCAATGACATCAGCAAAAAATCTTCCCATTTGCTTTAACAGGAGCTGGATTGGGTCCTCACCTCTAGTTTTACTTTGCTTTAGGGAAAAAGGGGTCATGAAAACTGCCTTTTTTTTTTTTTTTTCTTGGGATTACTGGGTTTATTTGGATCAACAACTTCACAGACGTCAACCTCACCGGAACCAACGCTGAGAAAATGATCAGCAAAACCCCCAAACTGAGCACCTCTCTCAGGAAAGCTTTCTCTTCTCACCACGTATCACAGAGAAACCTGGCCTCCTCTTGCACGGCCCAGCCTTGGGGTGACAGCACACCGAGCCACCTCTATGGCTAAAAGGTCCACCCCACACAACAGGTGACAGTGGGAAAACACCGTACTGAAGGCAGGGCTGAACCAAACAAACTGGTCAGGCACTACTCTTAGAAAAGTTCACCTCCTGGCCCTCAATTTTTGAATACATCAAATTAAAAGAGCAAGATTTAAGAAAAAAACCCCACACTTTACAAAGCCACCGTGAAAGCACCGAGACCTTACCCACCCCTCCTGACTCAGTCTATCTAGACCCGAGGCTCCAACTTTTGGCTCATTTCAGGATTCACTTCGCCCTAAATCCTTCCCAGCAGGTGGGAAGGAAAAGGAGATAGCTTAATCCTAATTCCTCAGAGCTCCGGCGAAAGGCTTAGATAACAACCTTGGGGCCACAGGACTCGGAAGACCTCCTTGCTCTGCTTTCAGGCTGTTGCAGTTCTGCTGTGGTTGATGCTACCCATCGAAAACTGGGCCCTCATGGTCACCAGCTAACGCAGCTCCCAGTACAGCACCGGGCAGGAACTTGTTTGCAAAGGGAATGGAAGAAAAAACTCCCAAATTCCTGGTGCTTCTGCGAGGTGGCATTTTGTTTGACAACGAGTGAGTCGGGGAAACCACGTTTACCCACAGTTCAAAGTCCGGGCACCTGCTGGCACCTGGGGAGGTCAGTTCCAGCCGTTTCCAGCAGTGAATGAACTTGAGATCAGCTCCAGCAATGGAGAACGGCTCTCTGCCTGCCCAGCAGATGTCTGGAGACACAGCCTGTCATGAAAGGGCCTCGGAAGAAGAACATTCCAAGCCAGCAGGGCAGTGGCGGGGAACTGGTCTCTGTTGCTAAAACTGATCTAGCCCCTGGAGCAGCTGTAAACCTTGGCCTGAAATTGGAGCCTGTACGTGGGGACAAAGAATATAAAAGGGAGGATGAGCTTCTCCCCTCCCCCTACCTTCATCACGTTTCCTCTTCTCGCCATTCGACCGAGGAATCCCCAGGATCCCGTTAATGGAGTAAGAGCCCACTGGATCATTGGAGGCACTGGAGACGGGAGGGGATGCTGTGCTGGGCACTGGACAAAAGGAAAAGGGAGAAAGGGCCATGAGGAGAGGAGCACAGCACTCAGGGATCCCCCAGCTGAAAGCTACACATGCCACCAGTCCCGTAGGAAAGCCTGGACACTAAGCAGACTCCCACTCCCTCACGCTGAAGGACTCGTACTCGCTCTACTGCTAATGCTGCTGCATCCCAGTTCTGCCAGTCTGTTCCTGTACCATAGCTCCACAGCCTTCCAGTACAGGGCCATCAATAACAAGCAAGTGTATTCCATCAAGAAGTTAACCGTGTCACTATATCCCAGTTCAGACCAGGCTTCCCAGTGCCTGCCATGGTAACTGAATCCAGTGCTGCAGAGGCCACGTTCTCTAGCGATGTCCTAGTCCATCTGTATTTTGTCAGATCATTTCCTCTGGGCAATTTCCCATCCAAAACACTCATTGAAAAATTACCTTAGATGCATTTCAGCGTTGGGCCAACAAATTCAGTTCCCCGCTAGAACAACTGGTGAGTTGGTGATACATACTCCAACCCAGATTAATAAAAATCTAGTGTCTTCCTTCTTGCACTGAGCAATGCCAACAGGCAGACCTCCTCCTGCCAGTCAGGGCTGTCCAAGGTTGCTCAGGAGTTCTCAATATATCAGAAATGACAAGTCATCCAGATTTGAAATGATCACTTCACGATAATCAAGGCTTTAGGGTACAGAACAACTCGAGCTATGCATCCAGGAGGCATGCCCATTATCTCCCAGTGTATCCCAGTAATGGGGAGGATATCCCAGTTCTCTTATAGGCCACTAGGCATCATTCAGCTCATAAAGCACTGACCTGAAGCAGCCAATACCTCTAATACAAGCCTTCCCAGATGGAGCAGAACCTGTCAACGCTCTCCGATGTAGACCCACACTTCCCAGTACATCCCAGAGCAACACGAGACTCCAGAGTCACAACCACTATCCCAGCTCTGCCAACGCATTCCCTAGACATTGCACTACTTTTCCAAGAAGGAATAATATCCGCCAACTCCATCTGTTGTGGTCAGTGGTTCCCAGTCCAGTGAGCAAGTCCAGATTAAAAGGCCATCCAGAAACACTCTTCCATATTGGACAATTAATTTCATTGTGCTCCCCAACACAATTCCTGTACAGATTATATCTGCCAGCTCTGTCCCATGCAGACCAACACCGCATCCAGAAACACTCTTCCATACTGGCCCATTAATTTCATTGTGCTCCCCAACACAATTCCTGTACAGATTATATCTGCCAGCTCTGTCCCATGCAGACCAACACCTTCCAGTAAATCCTTGTGTAGCAGCTCATTCTCAGTAACCAACAGTATCTTAGGCCACGAACTGGCCACTGTATTTCACAGTATCCCAGAGTACTGCATGTTTTTTCCTGCTCTGAATTGTTACTGGGTAAAGCTACGTTAGCAACAGCAGAGACACCAGTGAGAAGTACCTCATCGCACATCCAGCACAGCACCTTTAAACATAACGGACTAGGAGATATTTGGTCACTTTATTACAGCCTCCATCTTCTGCTCACCTCAATAAACCCATCTCCCCCAGCAGAAAATGCATTTTCTCGGTGAAATACACCCGTGGGATACCTGACTGCAGAGCTAGAACAATAAAGAACTCAGTTCTGAGGCATCAGGAGTATCTTACCCTGGGCTGTGTATTACTAGCGCTAAGAAATGGACTGGTTCCAGCAAAGGGAGAGAAGAGAAATTGGGAGAGAGAAGGGAAAAGAGAGAGTAAGAAGGAGAGGAAAGGTGAAGAGTGGTGCTTAGACAGGATAGAGGTAAATACTTCTCCCCAGGGAGGCGAAGGAGAGAGCGTGAACGTGAAGTGGGTGTTAAGGCAGAATCACTTTGGGCAAACCCCTACCTTGGGCTGGTTTCTCTGCCATGATTCTCTGCAATGCAACGAGGGGAATGAAGAACAGAAACCTCTGATTTCCACCGAGGTTTCTTTCCCCCCGCCCCCTCCTGCCTTTCGCTCGGCTTAGCATCTGCTTGTCAGACTTTGTTCCCTCAACTGAGCTTCATCCTCATTTCCACCTTTCCCGTCATCACCCCTCATGCCAGTCTTCTTACCGATAGTATGTCCTGGTGCAGTCACGCCTGTCCCGCTCCCGTCTGGTGTTGGGTGAAAAGGTTGCTGAACTTTGGTTCTGATGATCCTGGAAAAGAGCAAAACACATTCAAAACTCAACTGCAACTTTTCTCCGCCTTTGCGTACCCACAATCCCAGCTGTCAGAACCTGAAGCCTCATCTCAGCTCTAGGTGCAGTAGAGTGGCTTCATCTCCCTTCTTGTCATCCTGATTCTACGGCTTTAATGGGCCAGTTCCCAGAGAATTGTCCTTGCTCTGCTCTGTCATCTTCTCCCCAAAGAGAATCACCCAAAGGGAGGTGATTCTGCCCCTCTGCTCTGCTCTGGTGAGACCCCACCTGGAGTATTGTGTCCAGCTCTGGAGTCCTCAGCACAGGAAGGACATGGACCTGTTGGAACGGGTCCAGAGGAGGCCACGAAAATGGTAAGAGGGTTGGAGCACCTCTGCTGTGAGGACAGGCTGAGACACTTGGGGTTGTTCAGCCTGGAGAGGAGAAGGTTCTGGGGGGGCTTTAGAGCCACTTCCAGTCCCTAAAGGGGCTCCACTTGAGGTTGTTCAGCCTGGGGAGGAGAAGGTTCTGGGGGGGCCTTAGAGCCCCTTCCAGTCCCTAAAGGGGTTACAGGAGAGATGGGGAGGGACTCTTGATCAGGGAGTGGAGCCATAGGATGAGGGGTAATGGTAAACTGAAAGAGGGGAGGTTTAGGTTAGATCTCAGGAAGAAATTCTTTGCTGTGAGGGTGGTGAGACACTGGAAGAGGTTGCCCAGAGAAGCTGTGGCTGCCCCATCCCTGGAGGGGTTCAAGGCCAGGCTGGATGGGGCTTGGAGCAACCTGGGCTGGTGGGACGTATCCCACCAGATACGTTCCAGGGAGTTGGAACTTGATGATCTTGAAGGTCCCTTCTGTCTCACCAAGGAACTCAGCAAATAAGCCATGACCTGTGGAGGCCACGGAGACCAAATTCCTTTCTGAGATTTAAACGAGCCTCTCCAGTTAGAAGAGTTTCTAGAGCTTTCAGCCCTGCATTAAAGCTATATATATAGCTTTAAATTTTCCTCCAAAATCTCTCCAGAAAGGGAAACCAAATAACACATTCTCCCTGCCCACCCAAGAGCTTCCCCAGATTCATTCTGAAGGATAAGTTGGCAAAACTCCAAAGAGCAAATGTGTGGCCAGTGGGTGGTACGGCATGGATGGAGATGGGCAGAGACGCTGAAAGGGCATTTTTGAAAAAGTACAACTTCTAAGAGTGTAACCTTCTAGAGAAACCAAGGGTATTTCAGAGGGTATCACCTCAGCATGGTCAGAAACTCGGACACACACACAGGATGAAGCCTGGGCAGTAGCTGCAGTGGCAGAGAGGCTGCCTGGGACATAGCTGGAGACAGGGAATGAGGGAATGTCCAGGTTCTAGGTGGGGACAGAGATCCAGATCCTTGCCCATATAGGTCAGTGGTACCAGGGGCCCTAATCGATATCTGCTGAGGACCTCAGAAGGTGTCGGAGGCCTTGGGGCCAGATTCGGAGGTCATGCTGCTTTGCACTAGCCAAGGAACTGATCTGAGAAGTCTGTGCTAGGGCAAATAATATAACTTTTTTCTTCTTTTTCTGTTTTTTCTTTTTCTTTTCTCTTCTCTTCTCTTCTCTCACGTTCCCCCTAAAATCCCCTGAAGTGCCACTCTGGTTGTGTGAGTTTATTGATTTCCCCCAGCCCAGAGAAACAGAAAGAGGGGATGGGGTACAGGCAAAGGGATGGAAATAGAAAGCTATAAATTATTTGTGACAGGAAAGCAATAGTGCCAGAGTGCTGAGCACAAGTCCCGTGTCACTATTAGATTCCTTTTAGCCTGATGACACTGTAAAAGAGGTTAAGTGTCTGATGGAATCGTACACCTTGGGGGCAGGGGCAGTCCAGGAGCAGAACAAGCCACAGAGAGTGGGTATATCAATTCTCCAGGCCAATAATATTCCCCTCATTGATCGCAACACAAAGTTCAAAAATCTCATTATAGCCAGGCAGACCTGGAACTTTTTAAAAATCAATAGAGTGATATAATGTATGTATACTTTGTATAAATGTATCTATCCATCCATCCATCCATCTGTCTATCCAAAATCTGCCTGAGGGTGCCTAAGTTAACCTCTACACATTATACTGTGTTATGTTCTATTGTCGCGTAGCACGGGGAATGGATCAGAAGATTTGCCCTGCAGCCTTAGATGACATATTATAAAACGTCCTGTTAGCACTGAGGTGACATCAGACGGTTCCGTTCGGACTGAGATGTGACATCAGATTTGCCAGTGGTACTGGGAGGTGGCACCAGCCAGCTCAGCTTCTGCTGAGGGGAACTGTGAGATGAGCCTAATTATCCTGCGGTGGCCGATCAGGCTGTGCTGAATCACGCTGCAGGAAAACTGCAAAGTTTGGAAGAGCCATTGGGAGTGAAAACAGCCTGGGGAACGATGGCGGTATGAAATGCCTGTCCATAATGCTTCAAAAAACCCAGGCAGGGGATGAAGAGGAAGGTTCAGTTTCCTTCCCTGATCAGTTTGTGGTCTCTCAGCTGAAAATGCCAGTTAGTGCCAGTCGTGACTGTGTTCACTGAGATGTGTCCATTAGGAACTGGACTGAGACTCACCAGCTCATTTCAGCGAGCAGCCGTCAGCTGGTAATGATTTTCGGTCACTACCAACCAGGGCCAGATTTCAGCTGGTGACCCTGAGGTGAAAGGCTCTGTTCAAAAACGCTCCCCTCCTATGAATGAAACTGGTTTTATGTCAAGAGAAAGTGTCTGGAAACAGTGAGCAAAGAGGAGAGGTTCTGGTTGTCCAACCTCCAGTGGCTTGGGTCAAATAATTAGCATAGAATCATCATACAATCATGGAATGGTTGGGTTTGAGCAACCTGCTCTGGTGGGAGGTGTCCCTGCCCAGGGCAGGGGGGTTGGAACTGGATGGTCTTTAAGGTCCTTTCCAACCCAAACCATTCCATGATTCCATGCAATCCTGGCACACCAGTCAGCAGCGCTGATTTCTTGAAGTCAATGCTGGTATTTCAAACGTCTAAGAAATTGTCACTTTGGACTAAATTCATCCCTGCTCTAATTCCATCACAGTCAGTGCCTCCAATCACAGCATTTGTGTTTAATTAGGGGTGTAAACCGGTCCTTACTGTAAATTCCCATTTTTCATTTTCCAGTGGGAGGTTTGTGCACAAGTTGTCTGCTTTAGGTTTCGGAGAATACGCACAGATTTAATACATAACCTTCTGAAGTTTCAGCAACAGGACATTTATAGATCTTTGATTGCAGTAAAGTAACTGAACTTCATTTCACAATCTGAATTTAATATGCGATATTATCTTAAGTAATGGCATATAATGTCATTACAGTACATAGGATCATACTCGGAATTATACATCCATTCCTGGAATTCATGAGTTGGCACAGTTGGCGTGTAGTCACTCTTTTCTAGAGTTAATACTGAGCACAGCTCCAGCTGAAACCAACTGCCTGTTTCTAAATGCCTGGGACTTTCTAAAATGTTCAGCATTAGATCATGGCTTTCCAATGTTTGGGTTCTATTTCGTTATTTTCAGCAGCTTCAGTGCAATTCCTTTTGCTGATTCTGAATACAGATGGAGAGGCAAAAATCACCTCTCCTCATGTGACAGTCGTAACAAGCTCTGATCAAATTTGGTCACAAATGTAGAAAGAAATATTAGAAGTTAAAATTAGCTGAGCCTCAGTCCTTTCTGAGAAGCAGAACTTTCTGTCGCTCCTTGTAAATAAGCAAGTAAAAAAATCACTTCTAAACCTCTCCAGAAATTATTTGCTAAAAGAATGACAGACCCTTGTAAATAAGTAAAAAAATCACTTCTAAACCTGTCCAGAAATTATTTGCTAAAAGAATGACAGATCATAAGAAATGTCCCTTGCTTCTCTGACATTTCTATCCAAACTCTTACAGCCTGACGTACCCTGCGGTTCCTCCTCTCTTACTGTTGCTGGCAGAGTCTTTAGAGAATCTCTCAAATAAATAAAAAAATCACTCTAGGGCTGTTCAGAGGGAGATGAGGTTGGTCTGAATCATCCGGAGTCCCAGTCTAGCAATTCTTTTAAGCCTGGAAGCATAGAGTGAAGTTGCACTAAGGGGAAAGCCCGGTGTGTCCTGCTGCCCCAAGGAGACCCTGGCAGATCCCAGAAAGCGCTGGCATCCTCACTTTCCTCCTGTTCCTTTGTCATGGATTATTTTTCAGAGTGGAAGGACACACTCAGCAGAGCACCAAACTCCTTGTAATTGTTTTGGAGCATTCATATTTTAAATGCTCCATATTAGAAGCACATTACAAGACCCCAGGGTGTGCATTACTGGGCAATTAAAGCGGTTCTTGGAAGGCTAACATTGCGAAGCCTCAGCCTTTTCTCTGCAGCGTGTCCAAGGGAGGCTGCGATGGCCAAGGAACACACACCCTGCTGTGCCTGCGCTGCTTAATTAGCGCAGGGCTGGACTGATGAGCCACGGGCTGCGCCGGCAGCAGCAGCCTGCCGGGGACTTGGTGCAGGGCTAAGTGAGACAGTGATGCCTTCTCCACATCACATAGATTGCTTCCTACAGGCTGAGAGGGTTGGGGGTGAACAGCTTGGAGAAGAGAAGGCTCCAGGGAGAGCTTAGAGCCCCTTCCAGTCCCTAAAGGGGCTCCAGGAGAGATGGGGAGGGACTCTTGATCAAGGAGAGAAGCCATAGGATGAGGGGTAATGGTTTTAAACTGAAAGAGGGGAGATTTAGATAAGATCTCAGGAAGAAAGTCTTTGCTGTGAGGGTGGTGAGACACTGGAACAGGTTGCCCAGAGAAGCTGTGGCTGCCCCATCCCTGGAGGTGGTCAAGGCCAGGCTGGATGGGGTTTTGAGCAACCTGGTCTGGTGGGAGGTGTCCCTGCCCAGGGCAGGGGGTTGGAACTGGATGATCTTGAAGGTCCCTTCCAACCCAAACCATTCTATGATTGATTCTGTGATTCTACAAAAGAGATCCTGGCCATCCCAGTGATGCTGGCATCAAAGCACGGCTGAAAAAAGAGGGAGAACGTGGGCTGGGAAGAGGCAGCCAGGGAGCC